CATCCAGGGAGAGGTGAGTTTGCTAAGCCTGTAATGCAGCTGAATTTTCTTAGTGCTTTTTTCACCAAAGGGAATGTGAATGTCGTTTCAGATTTCATTTCTGTTCTCTCCTGGTGAGAGAGGGGGTAAAGAGGGGAGCAGGCCATTAGCCATCACAGCAGTTACCAGAGGGTCCTTTACATGTCCTGCCACCCAAATAAGATACGCGTCACTGCTAATTCTTTGCTGAAAGACATGGGGTTCCTCTCTCTTCCCACAAAGAGTTGTGGGCATGTAAAGATCTGGGCTTTCTAATCCTACCTTCCCGCTCACTGTACTGTGAAATATAGTCTCTGTTCTGACACACAGACCCTTTCTGGTTTTGCATCTTCCCAGCCAGGGATCAATTGCAATTTTCTGCTGAATTATAGGCATCGAGGCCAATCAGTCTAGCCACAACCTGCCTTAGAACAGGGAAGGGCAATTTTTCTGGCTACTGAGTTACTGAAAGATGGATGTAGATGTGAGTATTGATCATGGTTGTTCTTGACTAAGCTGTTAGCTGCAGGGGCCAGAGGAGACCTGGCTGACCTGTGGCCTTTGAGGAGGCACATACAGCTCTTGAGCTCTGGCCTATACCCAGAGGCTGCTCCCCACGGCTGTCTAGGGTGGACGCTGGGTCCTGTGGCTCTCAGCTGGAGCAATGTCAGCTTGAGATGGTGGGTCAGCCTGGCAGAGGGGATAACAAGTGAGGCACCTGCCGTCATCACTGCCTGTGTGATGGACTTCCTTCTTGCTGGAGCTGCCCTGCCATTTGGAGCTGGGTGTGACATTTGGAATGGCTAGAAAAAGCCAGATGGTTTTGGTTTGGGGCACACCAGGTTTGCCAGTGCCCTGCACTGCATGCCTTGCATCTGCGAGCCAAGGCACCGATTGATCCTCCAGGCAAGGCCGTGCAGGCAGCTGCCTCTAGCATTGTAGCAAGGACAGAGAGCAGACTGTTGCAAAAACACATCTTTTCTTGAGGCTTCCCGCTCCCCTTTGTGCTGCTTTTCCTTCTGATTCCCGCTTTCTCTGGCATATATTTGTGCTTATCTCTTGTGTATGCTTTTTTCCAGCCTCAAGCCCCTTTTTGAGGAAAAACGTGTATTCTTTCCATTCAGTCAGAGCCATTGTTGGAAGGACCAGAGTTTGGGTTCTTGCTTGTGATTGGCAAGTACAGGGCATGACCTCAGGGTGCAGCTGGGTGCTCCATGTGTTACTGACCACACGCTGTTGTTGAAGTCTTGCAACTGCTCGCTTAGCCTCTCTCCTTGCTTGCTTTGTATGAAACGCTTTTTTGTAAATGTTCTATAACCATCTTATTTCTAGACTTCTGCACATACATCTGGAAGCACAGCTGTCCAGGCAGATTGTTCTTCTGGGGTAAGAGTTCATTTTATTATTTAATCTGATTGCGTGGAACGTTTTCCCTCTGAAATCAAATCTCTGCTTCCCTGTCTGTCTCAGTGTGCAGTACAGCTGGGCTGGATGCCACTGTTTTGATCCGGGGCTGCAGCTTTGTTCCTCGCGTTGGCTTTTCTTGCTGTTGTATGGTAGCCACTTGCTCAGCTACTAAGCACAGAGTTAAAGGATCCCACTGCATGCATTTGACCTGACTGTCTTTCTTTGTGAGTTAGTATGAGCCCTGGGTGGTTGGCGTAGCCGCAGGGATACCCAGCTTCCTGGTCTTGGTCCTTGCAGTCGTCCTGGCGGTGGTCTGTGTTCTCCAGTGGAAGAACTACAGCTGGAATCAGGTGACTACCTTCCATCTCCTGGGTGCCTTGCTACTTCCCAGCCTAGACCCCCACACCAGAAACCTGATTCAACACCTTCTGAAGCTCTCGGGAAGTTCAGGACCACATCCCTAGGCACTCAAACTGTCTCTGCTCTGTCTCTCAAAGGCTGTACCTCAGCTTAGGAGTTGCAGGTTCATAAGGATAGAAGAGAAATTCATATGAAAATACTTCATGAAGGGGCATCTCCAAATGATCTGTTAACTAGCAGGAAATAAAAAAAAATCTGTCACCACTGTTCTTCAGTGGATTTCTCTGTCATTTCCCACAGGAAATCATTCATTTAGGGATCCTCTCACTCCAAAATGGTGTTACTTAGCTCCAGAAATGCCACCAAGGTGTTTCATAGTATGCATAGCTTGGTCACCTTTTTTTCTGTGTTCCAACCCGTGGGGTGGGTGGGTCTTCACACCTTGCCTACCTCCTTACTGCTGGGGTAGAGTCAGGAGTTTCTGTAGCACCACGCTGTTTCCTTACTTCCAAAAGAAAGGAGTAACAGTACTGAGGGGGGCAATTTCCCTGTAGTTGTTGGTAAACATCTCTTTTTTTTTTCCCCTGGTTGTAAATGTCGAAGTTAGGGTTTTCCCGAAGTTAGGACCAGACAAACTTTGGATGTTCTAGTAAAGGCAATGTTCAGGCTTTGAGGTTTGCCCTCTGCAAGGTCATTCTCATTGGCATCCAGCTTGGAATATGTTGGATATTATCCCTGATATTATGCCCTCTGTGGTTATTTATCCCCTGCATATGTCCTGAGATCATTTTCTCACTGCCCTGTGCTTCTTATGCAGTTGTTTGTGAATTGTACATAGATGTTGTTTGCCACTGTTTTGTTCATTGCTTCAGACGAATCAACATCCCGATGGGCAGGAAGAGCATGAATATGAATCATCCCCTCCCAGACCTCCAGACGTAAGTCATCTATTAACTGATTCTCAACATAGCACACACGCTGCTGAGTGAGTTACTAAATGCAGGACGGGCTTTAAGGATAGTCCTAGACTAATAGAGAGCTCACGGTAAGCTCTCTCCCCATGCTTGCCTGGGGCTCCTACATGACTGCTGTTTCTGGTTGCATGTCTGTCCATTTGATGCAATCCCAGATGAGAGGCCAGCAATGGTTTGCCATTGTTTTAGAGTACACAGGCATCCTGCATGGGCAAAAATGGAGGGAGAAGGAGGGATGAACCTGAGATGTGAGCAGATATGACATTTTCTTCAAAATACTGCCAAACGTTTCCAAAGAGAGGTGGGAGTTCTTGCATACTGTATTCTCTGCAGTACTCACAGGTCTCTGAGTACCTTGTGACAACCATCACAGAAATTATATTTTGCTTCTAGGACTTTTATATGACCATGATGCAGGGGACAACAAATATCTATGTAAATGAAGATCCAGACAAACACCGCAACCCAGTCATTCAAACACAGCCAAAGCCCATGAGGATGAAGAAGCCCACAAGAGAGCCATCTGTGGTGGAATCCGTTTATGAAAACCATCCACCCTATCACTGAAAGAAAAGCACCAAATAGTGTCTGGGACCAGAAATAACAGACACAATCCTTTTCCTGGACGCCAGGGGTCACACAGTTGCAGTTTATGAACAAGAGAGTTTTCTATTTGTGCATACATGAAATTCTACAGAGGGCAGGACAAAGAGACTTTGGATGGGGAAAGAACTTGTTTGCAGTGAGATGTGGAAGCAAAATGAGATTCCCCTGGAGTACCCAAGCAATCTTGGAGAGATGGTTTTGCTGTCCTCCTAAATCTAAGTTAATTCATTTGAATAAAGAACATCTACATCCTTGCAGTAATACTGATGGTAGAAAAGAGCAGCCAGAGAGCTGGTTGGAGTCCCTATCACTCAGGTGCCTGAGCTCCTCGCAACAGCCTGCAAAGACAGGGATGCACTCTTCATTTGGCACGAGTCCAGACCATAAGTGAGATGAAGTGATATGCCCAAGAAAACTGGAAGGGGAATGCAACTCCAGCTGCAGAACTTAGACCTCACAATGGCAACTTCCCTTAGTTCTCAGGTGTTCCTTACCCACAATGGCCTCTCACTCATGCTGTTCTCTCCTCTGTACCTTGGCATTTCAGCTGGGAGGTGAGGTGGGAGTGTGATTCAGGCAAGAGACGCCATCCAGAGAAACGATCTCCTCAGCAGCCCCATCTTGATTCATGTGGGGGTGCCAAGTGGCCACAATGACAGGCAGGGTTGTGCTGGCAAAAGCCTTGGGGAGAGCAGAAGGCCTGGGGGAGATGGTGGGAGGAGGACAGAGAGGAGGCATAGGGAAGGTGCTCCCAGCTTGTGGAAAGGCTGGGCCATAGAGTGCCCGAGAATTGAGAGGAGCCCTCAGGAGCAGCTGGAGGTCCCACCAAGAGGATGAAGGCAGTCGGAGCTTCAGCCTCTGAACTGGGGAGGGGTGTGCTCTCCTCCAGGAGGGATGCTGCAGCTATCCTTTGTCCATCTGCGGCCAGCAGGATTGGCAGCCCCAAGAAGAGCAGATAGAGCTGCTGGTAGCCCACAGGCCACAGGTCCCCCTTCCTCTCCCACACCGTGAGCCTTCCCAACTTGTGTTGTGCTGCAACTGGCCAGGGGCTCCTTGCAGGCAGCAGCAGTGGGTCCAGTGGCTGAAGCAGGCAGAATAACCCTTGCCCCAGGAGGGACAGCTCTTCCCACAGGGCGCTGGCCACAGGCGCTGCAGACCTGCTCTGCAGTGGAGCAGCAGATGTGGGTGCTGCCCCAACCCAAAGAAAATAACGGCTCAAATCCTCATAAATAGATTTTTCTTTATTGGGTCATTAATGTACACACATGCAGCACTATCCATCTGCAAAGCATGCTGCTCTTGGTGGGACATGTGCTGCTGGAGAAGCAGGTTGTGGGCAGCCATGGGAGCCATGTTTGTGAGAAAGTCAGCTGTTTGATGCGGCCACTGCGCTCAATGAGCCCGTGGACAGATTGTCAGTGCAACAGGCTGTAATGTCACCCAGGACCTCCCTACGATGTGGTGGAGCAGTTCTGGGAGGCTTTGAAGGTGTCTACTCTGCGTATGCATCTGTGTTTGGGCTGCCTTCCTGGAGGCCTTGGGAAGATGGGCCGATGCTTCTACTGTTGGTTTTAGTAAGGGAGATGTAAAGGAATAGCCAGGCTCAGGACACTATGGAGAGAGGTTTTGTGCTTTTCAGCGGGGCAGAGCACAGAGCTGGTAGGCAGGAGGTATGTTGCCTGTCCCACTCAGTGTCGGGGTTATGCTGAGTTCCTGGGGGTCGATGACAGGCTTCAAGGTAAAGTTCTGCAAGATGGTGGCCGTGCGTAAGAATATCTCCATGCGTGCCAGACCCTCTCCAGGGCATATTCACTTCCCTGGAAGTGAAAACAGCAAATAGCGCTCAACAGGTGTTGCCGAGTAGACCAGAGTTTGTACTAAGCAGATGTGTTGCACAGCTTTATTTACCAGATACAGCCGCAGCAGAGAGATGACTGTCAGGATTACTAAGGACATTTGCAAGAGGAGAGTTTGTTGGAGAAAGACCCTTGGCAGTTCGGTTGGGTGCGTGAAGGAACAACAGGAGCAGGAGAAATCTTAAACGTGGAGGGGGCGTCACAGGAGGAAAGATGGGAGAGAGCAAGGTGATGTAAAGCACGGGTGAGAAAGCTGGGGGGTTGGGGCTGTTGGTAGGTGAGTGGTTGCATGTAGCCTGAGAGGTGCTGGGGAAAAGTGGAGCTACCACAGAAAGACAGGTTGATTAAGGATGACTTTGGTGGTTGTGTAGGAAGGTGACTGGTATTTTATAAAGTGTCAATGGGTCCCATTCATGTCATTACATCGGCAACTCCTAGCAGGAGGTTTGAGAAGCCATCAGCCACCAAACAAGGCGGGAGATGCAGCTGGGGAAGGGAGCAGCAGGGAGGAGTTATCCAGAGAGCAGTGAGCCCCAAGGAAGCACCAGTGGGACCATGCTGGGAAGAAGAAGTGCGTGTTATAGGGAAGGGCAGGGTGGTCCCCAGAGGAGGAGGTCAACAGAGAGAGGAAGAGAGAGAAAGCCAGTGCTTTACCTGCTGAGAAGGGCATGAAGAACTCGCTCTTCCTAAAGGTGCTGTTCTCGTTCAAGAAATATCCAGGGTTGAACTCATTTGGGTTTGGAAACTCTTTACTGTCATGGAGGACAGAACCGAGGATGGGAAAGATTGTGGTGCCCTGAGGTAACACAAGGAGAAGAACATGAAGGGGAGGCGAGTTAGATCACTTAATCCGACTGCCTGCCAAGTTAAGACTGAGCTTCCCAGCACAGCCCTACCAGTGCCTTTGGTTTCCCTTCAGGGACCCTTCCTTTGGGGAGGCAGCTTTAGGGAGACCCTGCTAGATATCATGGCAGGGACAGTTGTTGGCTGCCCTTCCTGAATACTCCCTCTCACTTTCAGACCATTTATCCTCACCTTGCTCTGGTCGTCTGGGGACACCCCACCTAATTCTTCCTCTTTCGTAGTGTTTCACAACAATAAACTTGTAGATGCACTAGGTTCCTTCTTTTCTGCGAGCCCCAAAAAGCAAAAGCACACAAGGTTGTGGAAGTGAAGCTCTCTTCCCCCTCTCCTGACAAATTTCTCTTGCCATGATCCTCTTCCTTCCCTCTTCCTGAGCAGCCATTGATGGGGGGGTGGGATAAATAATCCAGCAGTGATGACACAAGAGCCCTCTGCTGGAAGCTGAGCAGTTCCCTGGGTCCTGCCTTTTGATTTTACACAGACAGCTGAAAATCAAAACGCCAACAGCCTGTGTGCTGCCGTTCCCCTGCTGTACACGGTCACCCAGAAGAGCAATGAGCACTGCTGCAGCGGGCCAGGCCAGTCCAGGGGTTGCTCTAGCCCATCACCCCGCCCCTGGCAGTGGCCAGCAGTGACTGCCTCAAGAAGCGTGTAAGAACAGGGCAAACAGGTTTTGCTTGTTCCCTTGAATGCAAACACAGCCTCCCACCCTTTGTGGTTTAGGGGCTTTCTGTGCTCAACAACCACCGACTGACTTTGCTTCCAAGCATGTGCACAGGCTCTCCTGGATGGTGGTGAGCAGTTCCATGTCTTTGCTGCCTTTTGTGTGAGGAGTCACTGCTTTGGTTTTTTTGTGAACCACTGTGTTTCTGCAGATGGGTAAAGCTGCAGAGCAAGTGAGCAAAGGTGTTGGGCAGAGCTACTGTTCCAGTCTTGGCCCATGGAGTGGCAACAAGGGATTGCAAGTGAGCTACAGGAGCCTGAGGATAAAACCTTCATGAAGGGCTGGGTGACAATGAGGTCAGGCCACAGCATTTCTAGCTTCTGGCTTGTAACTGACAGCCTAAGAGCAAATGTGCTGCCACCTTGTTGTTGAACTTGAGGGAGCTTGCCCGCTAACCTTGAGAATGACGTACTCTCTGAAGCGGGTGTCTTTGGTCACAGTGTGAGGGAGACCCAGGGAGATGAGAGAGATGAAGCGCTGGATTTCATGGACCACCGCATCTGTGTAGGGCATCTGGGTCCAGTCAGCCACACAAGGTCTTCGTGATCGTCCTACTACCTGGTCCATCTCTTCTTGAACTTTCTCTGACATGAGAGGCACAAACCATAAAATGGGTAAATAAAACAAAACCTAGCTAAACAGGTTTCCCTAAGCTGTCCACAAATCACAGATCACAGATGACAGCAGCATTGATGTTGGTTTTAGTGTTGACTAGAACACAGCTCCACTGCAGCCGATGCAAAGAATGTCCTCCTAGTGACTTGGCTAAATAGGAGTACTGGGAGATAAAGATGTGGACACAGTCAAGTCCCTGGCCGTGAGGGGAGTGCAGCTGATAATGATGCCAGTGAAGCTGAGGGATCTCTAACAGCCACCCTGGGGAATGACGGTGCAAGGACTTTGCCCATTTGGGTAAAATATGAGAGAGAGAGGAGAAAAGTTGGGAGAAGGATGTGGTATTAGACATGCGCCCAGCCCAGGGGAATAGCTAGAGAGGATGAGGTAACAGACTGGTGCCTTGTATCTTCAGGTATTTGAGAAGAAGCAGAAGCCCATGTCTTATGGTGGTGCTAGTTGTTTCAGTTCTGGCAATAAACAAGTTGAAGGTGCTGGTTATATCAGGTTCTTCATGTGGAAACTGGAACTGAGATGCTCTTTCTCCTAAGGAAAACGCTGGGCTGTTTCTCTGGCTGAGCTAAGTGACCCTTTCTTGTGTCATCCCAGGCCTTCCTTTTCACCTAGAGCTGTTGCATTTCTCTGCTAAGGTGCAGCAGCCATCTGGGACATTGCAATGCTATCTTTGTGCAGTAAGCTCAACCCCAGAGCAACCTTATTTCAAGCTGTGCACCGATTAGTATGTAGCTGCCTGTTTGCCCTTGCTGTGCCAACTGCTTTCCAGTGAAAAAACTGCAAGACCGGACTGCAAATGTCCCTGTGTTTCGGTGACGGCAGATGAAGGTCTTGCTATCCAAGCAGCTGCAGGTAGTGGCTGGTGAGTGTGCAGACGCAGAGCTATAAGCTCTAGCACAGGCAATATCTGGGGTATCGTGGGTGTCTTCCCACTGCACAGCCCAGCTGCCTGGGAAGGGGTCATCCCAATGTCTGTGTTAGGAGAGGGAAAAGGCTCAGCATCAGTGTGTTTGGGGATGAGCTGGAGCTGTATGCTATCTCCTTAATTCCTGCATTTTGCTGAGGAAGCAGTCAATGAAATCCTGAGGGGAGCTGGGATCTAGGGAGGCTTGGTGCATCTTCACCTCCTCTGACGTAAAGGCTTTTAGAGCATCAAATTCACCTCCTCTGACGTAAAGGCTTTTAGAGCATCAAATTCTGTGAATATTTTGTTGTGTGAGGCAGGTAAGTAATCCAGGATCTTTGAGAACATCTGGTAGAGCTGGAAGGAAAGAAACAGGAAGGTCCCTAGCATGACCATTGCCCCATCCTTTGATATTAGCAAAAAGCCTAGGAAGGCCGCAACCCTCTCAACTGAGCCAAGCAGAAGAGCTATGAGGCTGGGTAGTCTGACAGGGCGGTAGGGGCTTGCTTAGTACTAGAGGAGGCTTGCTTAGACGTGGAGAAGAAGGGTGTTTAGGACTAGGGAGAAGCTGCACTTAGCTGGCAAAGCCAACTCCATTGATGAGGGCGCTTCTTGCTCTCAAATGAATTCCCTCCTGTGCAGCAGAGCATTGATTGGGTCCTAGTTAGAAGACTGAAATGGGACTTCATTGGGAGGGAGGCCTCCTGCTCCCCTGGGAGAATGTTGCCACTGTGAAATGGCTGCTGAATGTACCTGTCCCCAGTGGGAGTTCATCATCTCAAAGATGTTCATGTTGTTCATCAGGGCCAGGAACTTCTTGCCTTTATAGTCATACTGTTTCCCAAAGACGATGGAGCATATGACATTGGAGACAGCACAGCTCAGCATGAAGGTTGGGTCAAAAGGTGTTCCTGTGATTTCAGAAAAGTTACAAATCATAAAAAAAACCCCAAAACTATGGCTACTTATGGCTACTGTGGGTAACCTGACCTCTGGTTGTAGAGCTCAATGAAATACCAATACGAATGGAAATACCAGATCACAGTCTCTGAGTAACACAGAAGGGTCCTCCAAAAAGAACAGTACGTGATCACGGAATTATTTACTGCTTTGTAATGGGGGGTAGCTAGTGCATGGACCAAACGCATGGGAACTTCAATTCTATGCTAAAGACATGGGCTCACTTAATACAGTCCGCCTTTTCCAAACATAAGCTATATTAAAAATGGACCATACCCTTTGTTTTGTTGATCTCTTCCAGCAAGTACTCAGTTTCCTCCTAGATCCTCTCTTCAGTGCTCCTCTTCCCCATCCCAAAGTTGTGCAGAGTGCTGAGAGCAAGCCGCCGGACTTGTAACCACTCCTCATTGTTGCTAAAAACAATCCCTGCAGAGGAATAAGGAAGAGGGAAGACCTGGCTTGGGCGTGCTGGGTGTGAGATGAACAGAGGCTCATGGTGACAGTGAATCCTGTCCCTGGGAGAGCACTGACATGGTAGTGTCATAGAGTACTGTGGTTTGGAGGCAATCTCTGGAGGTCCTGTAGTCCAACTGCCTGCTTTTGGCCGCCTACACCACATACCCAACCTCCTTGTGAACAATTCATCACTCATATCCACACATAATTTCCCTTGCTGCAGCTGCTGGCTGTTGCCACTTGCCCTTTCACTGCCCATCACTGAGATCAGTCCAGGTCCATTTCTCTGCTACCTTCTTTGGGTGGTGGAAGCCAGCAATTACAGTCCACTCTGCCTTTCCTTCTCCAGGTGGGATCCACCCACTCCCCGCAGTCTTCCCTCGTGCATGGTACACTCCAGCTCTAATCTGCTGAACGTACCCTCAGCCCTTCCCTTCTCCTCAGGAGGAGCTTGGTCAGCAAACGTACCAATCCATTGTTAGCCCTCCTATTGGCATGTATCCTCTGGCAGCAAACTCATCTGCACGATCAACCAAGGCTTCTTTCACCACATCGTGTCCGTGCAGCACCACCACTGGGTCAGAGCCCAGGTGCACTGTGAACACTGGTCCATACTCTTCACTGAGCTGTCAAAATGCAGGAGAGAACATGGCCATGGAGCAGATAGGGAGGAGGAGCTGAAAAGTGGCCTTGCTGCTGCATCCCACTGCAGGCAGTGCAGCCTCACAGACCAGCAATGTCAAGATTTCATCCTCTCATGATAAATGTGGTTGTGGAGAGAGTTCCCAGCTATCAGGCCCTGAACAATGGCAACAGCAGTGAGGGGGGAGGAGCTGAGATCCCCATGACTTTTCTGCTCCTCTGGGATTGCCATCCATCAAGCTATGGCCACAGGTTGTCCCCATGTACAGGTCCCACACATTTCTTGTCCACAGAAGAAAGTAAGAGAGAAGAAGAAAGTGGCCTTACCTTCTCAAGGCTTTTGGCCGAGTTCTTCAGTTTCACCTGCAGCACGTTACCTAGGATGGGAAGGGGAGCCTGTCCTGGAGGCATCTTCCCCTTTCCAGACCTCCCTCTCCATGCTGCAAAGGAGAGCAGGCAAGCAATGCAAACCAGGAGGACAACAGTGGCTGCTCCCAGCAGCTCCATTTGCTTCCGCGGCTCAGGAGGGAGTGACTCTGGCTGCCAGAGCCTGAGTTTATATACTGTAGGGCTATGTTTGTTAGCTCAACAACAGGTTTTGGATCAGGTGGCTGAGTTAGTCAACATTACTAGTCAATCAGACTGCCCTGTGTTACGAAACTAGGACTTCTCTCGGTGTTAATTGTTCATTGAAGACTCGCCTTATCTCAAACAACTGCAGAGGCCAACAGAGGTTAAGAAATTTACAAAGTGCTCATAAAACTTGTTTTGTTTCACCTAAAGTTCATTGTTAAAGAGATCACACTAGGGGCGCACTCTTCTACTGAGGCACTCCCAGAAATTTACTGTCATGAGATGCGCTCATGACACTGCATGTGATGTGCCAAAGAACATACTGATGTGTTCTCAGTGCACAGCAATTGCCTCAGTCTCTCTCCCTAGGGCTGTCTGGCCTCACAAGAGAGGAAAGTATAAAATATCCATCTAGCAAGGGCAGAAAGGTCTCCAGACATCACAATAAACAAAAAAGGACTTGCTGGGAGAGATAAGATAAAGACATAAGACAAGGGGACTAGACCTTGGGACTCTGACCTCTTCAAGGTCTCCTAGAGGAGAGAAAGAGTGAGAGAAGCAGGTAGAGAAGAGAGAAATCAAGAACTTGAGAGGGTCTTTGGAGAATGGCTTCCCAAGCTGAGACACAGCTGCACTTGTGAGAGGCTGGGTATAGGTTAGTGCAACCTGGCAACTAGTCCTTGCACTTGCAATGACCAAAGAAGCCCACGCAACCTACTGCTGGAAGCTGGCATGCACAAGTTCCTGTTTTGTTCATGTCTGACCCCGATATGAGGAACTGCTCCCCTGGAAGGGCCAGAGGTGCTCTGGGAGGCTGCAGAGCATGTCTGGTGTGTTGCGAGGATTTAAAAAAGAGCTGGAGGCTTCCTGCCCAAGATTACTCCAGGGGCTACGTACCTGCGAGGTCCCAACAGCAGTGGCAATGGCAGGTAGAAAGGACCCTCAGGGCTGTGGCACTGCCTGTGCTCAGCTTGCTCAGTCTGGCCATACCAGTCTGGCCATACCCCTCTGTCTCTCCTGAGCTGTGATACTTTTGCAGGCAGACAGATCTCATCCAACTGAGCAGAAGGTGTTGCGAGGATAGGGGATGTGGGACTCAGTGGGAGTCAGCGAGGGGCCTGGGTGAACCGGGTGCTTGGTTGGAGTGTGCTGGGTTTGCTGTGCCGCAGTGTGTTAATGTGAGTTTCCCCTTTGCTCAGAGGTGCTAGCGAAGGTCTCCATCACTTGCAAAAGTTTCTGTAGCTTCCCTATGAGTTCTTAAGTCAGCTTGCTCTCTCACATAGGCACAACAATTTGCTAGTTGTTCTTTTTTAATCTCATTTCACTTCTTAAAGACCCATACTTGATACTTTGGTGGAAAAACTGAATTGCCAACAAATCTGGGCTAGTTGCTGATCTGCTGGCCTAGACTCCTGCATCAGCTCAGATGTTGCCAGGGCAGTTCATGGAAGTTCATGTAGCTCTAGGGACCTCCACCTGGTGAAAGTGGAGCTCATGGGAGTTTGCACTGCTACATGAGGTCTCTCTGCTGCCAGCATTCATGACCTTACCACCTTCCCTGTAAAGTTCCCTCGTTCCTGGGGACAAGGGCTCACTTCTCAGCTCTGCCTCACAGTTTTACTTTGAGCAAAAGCCCTGGAACTAGGAATACTGTCAAGATTTCTCATTTTTATCAGGATGAAATCATTATATTCCAAATGTTCCCACCACCCTAGCGCACACACACTGGGGATTTACAAAGGGAGGAAACCCCATAAGACTAGTCACTCAGACCTTTCCTTGCAGGAAGCCATGGGCCTTTTCATGTCACAGTAGTGTCCGAGGGTTTTCTGAATACTCACTTCTGTTTGCAGACACTAAGAGTGGGCAGGGCTGGTCTGTCCTCTCCATCCATGTGAAAGTTCAGGAAGGCCAGGCTGAAATCCCCTCCTCTCCATCTTCCCCAGGAACTTTGGTTTTAAGTTCATTGGAGGCATGTATTAGGGATATTCAAAGAAAAGGCTACCAGTGTTGTAGCTTTGCCTCTTTTTTCATAAAATAAAGCACAAGCTTGAAGAAAATCTGTCATCATTGTGTACAATCTCCTGCAGACTTGCTGCCTGCACCTTCTCTTTTCGGACCTCGGTTCAGAAGGTGGCACTGCGAAATGCCACTCCTGCCCACTGTGCAGTCAGCACCCCTCATCCCCGGGACGCTTGGTTGGGATATCCCTGCTGTCTGCAAATGCTGTTCAGCTTCTGTGGAGGAGTGTTTTGACTGAGTTACTCCTCCATGCACTGCCATTTTGTACCACATACGGTGCACGGTACAGGCCAGACGCACAGCGATCTCGTCAGAGACAGTCCCACAATGCGCAGAGCATTCTGTACTCCCCTTCCTGACACTTCTTGGTGGTGGTGTTTGATACCTCCTTTTCTTCCCACAGGTCTCTAGGGAGCTTTCTGCAGCCAGGGCAACCCCTCCACTGCTGCTATGTCTGCCACAGTCTCGCAGGCTCAAAATTGTTAGGAGGAGAGGATTTTCCTGATGGACATCCCAGGAAGATTTTAGCTTGCTGGGGTCATGATCAGCTTCAGGCTAATGGCCTACAGAGGCGTTTGCCTCACCTATCTTCATCCTCTGCATGTCCTGTTTGTGGTGGTCTTGGGTGCTAGCTAAATTGGTGCTTACAGCTGGGTCATTGTAATGCGTGAGAACTATTGAATAGATGAGGAAGAGATTTGCGAGGAAGAGAGACCTGCCTGTTTCCTCTCAGCCAGGCTGCTTTCCACTGCCTGTAACAACTTCTTCCAAACAAAGCATTTCATTTCCATGAATTTCAGGCTCACTTCACTTGCCTCCCATCTCCACATCATCCAACAGGGCTGTCAAGTGTGTGTGTAGAAATTAGGAAAGGGTGCTTACCTGAAACCGTTCTCAGCACGGGCATTGCTTGGTGGATCTAGAGCACTACCAGTGTTGTTTCACATAGAGTTATTCTTCAAGTACCTGTAGACATTTTTCCTGTCAGCATAAACAAAGTATTGGTGGGTTAAAGTGTAATGAAAAATTTCTCTCTGTAGCTCCAAAGTACTTTGTTTATTTGTTATTGTTTACCCAATTATCAGCAGGTAACGCAGTCAAATGAAGCATTCAGCAGTCACACAGTGGCTGTGAGATTTGGGCAAGCTGTCTTGGCACAACGCTCAGCTTCTACAGAGCTGAAGCCTCCCTCCCTACCGAAGTCCAAATGTTTTCCCCGGGTGCCTCTCCGCCGTGGCTGCCCAGTGCCCAGGCAGGCGCTGGGACGAGCACATTTGGTTCATGAGCGCTGCTCAAACAGCAGCCACGCAGGCAGCCTGTCGAGATCCATTTGCTTCAGTCCCTGCTGTGCAGAGCAGCTGAAAAGGTCTTGTACTTTGTGGAACAGCCCTCCTAGTTGGTGCATGAAATAAGCAGTGTGCAGGGTAGGCACAGTGACGTTCTTCGCCCAGCTGGCCGGCTGGGGATCACGGCATCCTGTACAGCTGTAGAGGAAGGACAGGCTGTGGGCTAAGGTGGAAGAGCAGAGGAAACGCCTCCCTTGGACTCAGCTACTGACCGTGCCTGTTGATGAGGGCTGGCTGGAGGGGCGAGCGTGCTGCCTGCTGCATGGTGCTGTGCAGACGTCCGGGAGCTGGAGGGTCTGCTGAGAGCAGAAGTGTGGGTGGCTACCAATGGAAGTGCATTATTAAGCATCAAGATTAGAAATCCTACTCATCTAACCCACACACCGAGCTGGGATGTGTGTGATGATCTAGTCCCAAAGAAATAAGCAGATTACAAAAGAACGTGCTGGCACAGGCTATGCCCATGCTCCTGCTGCAAAAAATAGGGCACAAAAAGGCATGCACAAACTACGTGTGCATCACCTGTGCAACAGTGTAAAGACATTCACACCTCTGTTGCATGAATGCAGAAACATCTGTATGGAAAGGTGGACAATAAGGCTTTTACTCAGTGTGGGTGCTGTAGCCTGATGTGTGGCTAGGGAGAAGGCTCTACACGAGACAAGTTGCAGTTACAGGCAGGCAATGGGTGCTGGCAGGCAGAGCTTTCTCTGGGATCACAGAGGCTCCCCTTACTTGTGTTTCAGGCCCACCTGTCAGCTTTTGGGGGTGGGGGTCCCACAGAGCATATGGTCCTGCCACCTAGCAGCCAGGCCTGGAACAGTCCTGCAGCTATCCCCACACAGCACCACTGCAAATGGGTCTGTGGTCCACAGCCAGGTGCGTTCAAGGGGAATCACCTCCTTTTAGGTGTGCAAAGCCTCCTGAGCTCCATAGTTTTCCACAGGTTTCATGTGGAGGGCTATTTCTGTGCTTATATGTCGGCACCCTGTGTCTGGCGTTCGAAGCAGTGGCACCTTTAAAAGAGCAAAAGAGCATTGTCACTCAGCTTCATTGTCACTCATGCCATGTAACGAGCAATTAGAGCAGCAGTAGGGTACATGCGGAAAAGCAGGTGGATCTCCTGGATGGGCCAGTGGTGGGAAGAACTCAGGGTGAGAAAAAAGGGTTTGAAGACCCTCCCAGGGCTCGACAGTAAATTGCACAGATGAGCTCCTCTCAGCTTAGTGATACAAATACAGACCCATCTCTTGACATAAGCTCAGCTCCTGCCCTGTGGTTTTCTTCAAAGGGTGCAAGCAGACTGTGATGGGTTCAGAGCCAGGTGAGGGCAATGGAAGGTGTTAAACTGCTGGGCTGGGTCCACCTGGACACTTCAGGAGTTTCTGATCCCAGCTGGCTCCACAATTTAAAAGGGCTAGGCTAAGAGCAGCTGCTTCATGGTCCTTAGCAAGAGAGCAGGATGTGTGTTGCAGGGCAGTCTAGGACTGCATTTGGAGTTATGCTCTTCTGGGGGTTTCTTGGTCCCCTTGCTTTGGTTGTGGGGGCTCAGGGTAGTGTTTTTTCTGATCCCACCCTGCTGTCTTGTGGCCAAGAAACCCTGCAGTTCACCTTACCTCCAGGCTGGGAGGGGAATGCTTCCTTTGTGCTGACTACTTGGGGTAAGCGAGGGTGGTGTCAAGAGGCTTTCTTATTGCTGTGTCTTTGCACAGTGCAGAGGTATGCCTGGAATGAGGAGAAAGGGGCAGGTTTTGATGTGGAGTGTTGTCTAACAGCTTCAGTGCATCTTCTGTAACTGGGGGGCTGTTTATATGACCCAGCAGTCAAGGGTTTTGGTGGAGTGCTGTGCCTGAATCTAGATGGTCTTGGCTGCTGGGTTCCCTCACGCACCCCTGCTGGCCCAGACCCTAATACTGGCTAGGACCTTGTTTCCTACAGAAAGGTAGAATTGTAGTGGACCCCATCTTCAGTGTGGGATGCT